TTGCATGGCCATCTACGTATTAAACTAAAAACTATCGAATTCTTGCCCACCTAACGAACGAGCAACAAAAATTACACTATCACGGCGTAGTATCGACAAATTCATCATTGAACGCGCCAAGCATCGATCAGCAATTCCCATTCGTGAACGACGATTAAGATAAGGCTGACAATGGTCCGTTAATCCAATTACAAGTTTCTCCCTCTTCCGGTAACCGGTTCGCGGGATGGTTGACCAGTCGAGTGCGGTGGCTCCCGCCAATAGTGCGCGAATATTTGAGAGAAGAGGAGAGAGAGAGAGAGAGAGAAAAAAGAGGAAAGAAAAGAAAAGAAGAAACTGTGTCACCGGATATTGTTACGGAGATATTGCGCATCAGGGATGCCTGATTATCCGAATATCCCTTACACGAAACGTCGATTATTCCATTACCACTTATCCGGGATATCGATCGGCCAGCCAACAGGATACGGAGCGCGTCGATATGCGTGTGTATACACCGAGCCAAAGCGTGCATATAATACGTGGTATAATGAGATATCCACGTGAAATCCCGGGCGTAGCGTAAATCAAGCCGAACGTTATTATGCGTTCACGCGATAACAACCTCGTCCAACCCCTTAATGCGCCGTCACCTGCGTTCGTTTTCGTAAAAACTCGACCATCTTCCACGGTGTCACGCTGCTCTTTTTCCCACTCGGGTCATTTACTTCGATTACGCCCTTTATTCGGTTTCTCTCGCCGATATATTCTCTTTTAACTCTTGCAATTTATTATTCCTTCGCCGATGATTGTTGCACAATAATTTTCTATTATCTTGCGAAGGGTTTTAAGAGATCGTGCATTCGTCAGACTGCAACTTAACGCGTAAATTTCTTGTTTTTCAGACATTAGCATGTTGTTACAACGTATCGTTACACCAGTATCGCTTAAATAATCGTTCCTTACGCGTTTGTCTTCACGTGACACGCTCATCAGATCGTCGCTGCTATCTCACACGTTTGCATCGATTGCTTCTTCTATTCTCTTCAATCTCGTGTTTAGCTAATTTGGCGAGTACTGACGATACGCGCACCGAAGCTGTAATATGTGACAAAAGTTCTCGTCTCGAATTTTATTTCGTACAGGCGAGGTCGTTTTACACTTACGTATAACAATCTTGTTTCAACAATCATCGTTGACAGTTGTCACACCGATATCTAAGAACCGGGTTCTTCATTGATCACGAACAGAGAGATTCGTCATTTATCTTTGTTTGGTTTTCTTTTTTTCTTTTTTTTTTTTTACACGTGAATTGAACGTGAAACAAATAGATACATAGAAAATGTTAACGGAGATTAGAATAAACATCGACGTTTCCGAACAGATTGCGATAAGTGAGACTGCACTTTCGAGCAGTAATCACTCCAGTTGCAATCCATCGATCCAGCCTGATGTTTTCAAACGAGATTCGGACAACCGCGTTATCGATCAAATAGAGCAATCGCTGCTCCAAGTCGGAAGTCGTGTTCTCGATTTAACGAGAACAGAAAGCCGCTTTGATGAACGTGGAGTCCCGAGGCCCGAGCTATCGATCGAGATATCTCGCGGCGTCGTAATCGATCCCGTAATTAAACGTGCAATCTACCGGCGAGATTTAAACACGCGGGTCGAAAAGGTGAAAGAACCGCGATTGGCCGGAGATAAACTCGATAGGTAACGAATATTTCGGACACGTACACGGCGAGATTTCACCCGTCGAAAGTGGAATCGCGGCGCTTACAATCGCGCGAGTTGCGTTACGCCTTGCAATCCGTCAAGACATTCGTACGAGGTTATCGTTAAACATTAAAAATCACGGAATCTTCAGACATTGACATTCACTCGAAATCTCTTTGTTAGGATCTTCGATTGTTAAAATTTAGCAGATTTTTCAACCTCTGCGTAACACACACCACAAATATTTGCAAATATTAAAGTTCACAAGGTCGAAAACGCGGACAGAGTTACAACGTTCGAAATTTCAACTATGAAAATACTCGAACACCTGCGATCTCGTCGATTGGAAATTTTCCCAAATTTTCTCCAAGTCCAAATCGAAAGACACACCTGACACTCCTTTACTCCAGGTGTGAACGAGTAATTTTCCTTCTCCGTGTCCTCGCAACAAATCACCGAATTTGTACCAGCGTGTACGAACGAGTGGAAAAGAAACGAATTGTGTCCACCGGAGAACCGGATACTGTTAGCCTGTATTTCGTCAGACGGTTACCGAGATTGATCGCTTGTTGAGTAACGCATTCCCGTGTTCCTCTAACTAACAAATTTCCAACGTGGTTGCTCGCACACCATCCTCCCTCCCCCCCCTTTCTCTCTCTCTCTCTCTCTCTCTCTCTCTCTCTCGACTTCGATTTCGGGTCATTGGAGAGTTGGGCGCGGAGAAAATAAACGGCCGGTGCGCAACTCGATGATCTCGTGACGCTGTTTCGGTCCCGCGGCGCGTACATGCGAGTCACGGCCACGGATATTCGCGGCGTACAGAGAGGAGAGCGCGTTACCTGCCGATCGCGTGCATTGTGAGAATTAATCATCGAAAACGCAGCGGAATATTTTTCGAGCGAGGAACATCCGACGCGTCGTATCTTATTTTCATCGTGCGCGTCCGCCTTGGTGAATGTATCGTCGCAGTCAGCGGAGTTGTTCGAATGAAAGACCGACCGAGAAACGAGGCGGTTCCCTCGCGCTTGCTTTTGAGTCCCCCGATTTAGAACGAATTCGATAGATTTCGACGGCGGAACCTCTGCGCAAATTCATATTTCTATGAAATTTAACGAAATTTAGAAAGAAGAAACTGGACAGAAAATTGTTTTCTCTGTTAATTGTTGCACAGATATTGTCTTGATTGCATATTTCTTCTTTACATATTTCATATTGCATGCATTCTGTGCATATCTGCACCTTCAAACTTCGTATAAGCGCGTAAACGCGTTCGCAGTTTACTTATGAAACGTATTCATTCATCGTATATTTTTAGATTGAGTCGACGATTAGTTTCTAAGGCTGAGCGGGGCCAAAGAAGCTCATTAACGTCCGAATGCATAATTTAGAAAATTTATCTCAGAGTTTGGCTAATTTGAAGCCAAATCTTGAAATATTTATCAATTCTTTTAAACATCAGGTGGTAAAATTTAATACATCAGAATTTAATATATACAATCTAACTAATTCTTACTTTAATTACTTCTAAAGCATATTAACAAATATCATTTCTTGTTATTGTGTTACTCTTCTAAATTTTCTGACTAATAAATCAGACCGATTATCAATTATTAAAAATTTAATTATTAAAGATGAATAAAGTTTCGCTGCAGGTTTTCAGCCATCTTGAAACACGAGTTTTGTGTTATTTTCCAACACACCGATTCTCTCAATAAAATTTTCATTCTTCGCGATTTGTTTATCCTGATTGAGAAATTCTTTGTCGCTAAAAATTTATGATAATATTAATGATAGAAAAAAATTTATACTTACGTGCGAGTCGCGCTATACACTTTTCAGAGACACTGTTTGTTTTTTATTTTTTAATAATTTGTAACAAAATGTTACCGATGAAAATTGCAATTCGTTTTATCTAGGAATTTAAAGCGTTATTTAGTTCATTTGATTGAACAGCAATGTTATAATTCGTCGCTAAAGTTACGTTGCAAATTTTGGACTTTGTTCCTCGATAGTTCTACTATTGAAAAATTAAAAAAAGAGATTTGTAAAAGTAAGAGTAATTTGAAAAATATTTAAAAGACAACTACGAAGACGAAATTTGGTGATGTTCATTGATAAATCACAGTCAATGTAGAAACAATTAACGTGTATATATATTTTCATCGTAAGAGGTGCAGCAACATACAGTTTGTCGTTCGATGTACAGATACAAGGATTTATCGACTCGTGATCGCAGAAACGAGTACAAAGGGAACGTGGCAAAATCCGTTCGAGCTCTTTCCTTCGAAAAAAAAGGAAAAAAAAAAAGGAAAAAGGCCGCGAGGACGTTCAATTATCGACGAGAGCTCTTTCCATTCACGAACAGTGCTGTGCATTAACTAAATTTCGTCGTTTAACCCATTAAGGGGCAACATCTTTTATTTCCAATCTTTCTCAGTCAATTTACATTATCGAGTTCTTTTCCTAACACCGTGCATGTGAAAATGTACTTCAAGAATTCGCTTGATACTGTTTTCCACTTTTTCTAAATCTGCGATTTTATGAAATATTATAATAACATTACGATTATACTGCGGACATTTATAAGAAATTTAATATTGAAAGAGTGCGCAGATTGCCTGTAACATAAAAAAAAAAGTTATGATGAAAAAAAATAAATTTGGAACATATTTCAAAAATGGAAAAGCGAGTGAAACAAATCTCTGCTTTTTCCTCCTCAAATTGTGTACGCAAAAATTCAAATTTGCACAAACATCTATGCAGTCTAATGAACTACAAACTATTTCTTGGTCCTTAATGGGTTAATGGTTATTCAAGTTGTCGATTATTGTCGTGAAACCAGCGATACTGATTTAAATATATTCGAAATCCGTTTGGATCTTTCACGTTAAATCGTCGCGATTCTGCACGACACTGATCGTGCGCAAAATGGTGGACGAGTTACAGGAGGTGCCAACTTCTTCCTGCAAAGTTTCACCGAGCACATGAAAAAATATTTGTACGCTTTTTACCGTGTATCTTCAGCCTTAAGATGATATGTATTTTATAATTCGGCGACACGCCATCCCCGGTTTCCTTCGACACGCTACAACGACGAAGGCACGACACCGTTTAATCACGATTAAACTCCGAATCAAACAAACGGACCCGCGATTAAAACGGAAATAAATAAAAAGGAACAAGTGGGAACAACAGAGAGAAAAAGGAAGGAAACTATGAAAAAAAAAAAAAAAAAAGAAAGAAAAGAAAGGAATCGGGGAAGTCGGAAATTCCAAATGAAAACCAATGAAAACGCGCTGGGCAGGTTCGTTGAAAAATTATATTTTTTTTTCTGGCACGAATCGTAAACACAACATAATTTATAAATTAACATACACAATCATCGTCGTCAATAATTTACAGAAATCATCGTGAGCGTTTGCTTCGTTTTGTTTCATTCTTTTTTTTTTCTTTTTTTTTTTTTTTGTTTTATTCTTTTTTCTTTATCGAAAATCTCTAACTTGTTCGTCGTTATACAAAAAAACGTAAACAGAATGTCGCGGAACCGCAGAAATTGTGGTTCCCGCGGGGAAGGAGACCCGTTCTCGGTCGTCGCTCGTCGTCTTTCCTCGTTTTTCAAACGTACGGAAGAGAAAACGACGCGAGACAGGGCGAAGAAGAAGCACGAGCACGAGCTTGTAAATGCGAAATGATGTTTATGATTGGAACGAAGCGTTCTTCTTCATCCCGTTCTGGAGGACGACGAGAGTCGGATGGGATATATATATATATTTTTTTTTCTTTCGATGAAACGAGGAACAAGGGGGAGAAAAAAAAAGTGGGGAAGAGTGTAAGAATAGGACGAAAAATAGGAAGCTTGACTTGCAAATAGGATAACAAAATAAATAATAGAAGCATTAAACATGATTAATTACTTAACAACGTAACTAGGCGTAATAATTAATAATAATTAATAATAATATAATAATAATAATAATAATAATAATTAATAATAATAATAGAAATAATTATAATCGTACGAATGGCTAAATGAGTGTTAATAATTACAAGAACAGGTTGTTTGTCTGGCACGGCGATCGCTTAATTGCCTGACGACACGACGTCGCGTGTTTCATATTTTTTTTCTCCTTTTTTCTTTCTTTTATTATACAATTATACGTCCTATTTTTTTATTTTTTTTATTTTTCGTTTCGTGTCCACTCTACGTTTGACCAAGCGAAAAAAGGTCTCGTTTCAGCGAGAGGATTCTCTCTGTGTTTTAAAGATTAAATCGCGCGAAGATCGCGTAAGTCGAAATTTTCGTTAGAAAATCAAATCAACAATCAAACCTCAAGTTGTTTCAACTTGTAGCGAACACACAACCGAATTTATCCATATGATTTCGCGTCTTCAAAAAGAAGAAATAATTCAAAGGAAGAAAAAAAAAAAAAAACGAAAAAAAGAAAGGAAAAAGAAAAAAGAACCACGAAGAACATCAGTAAAAAGAAAACAGAAAATCCCTCAATTTTTCGCGCGATATCGTGTACGCCCGTTTCGAAACTACGAGATTTTGTATTTTGAAAATTCTAAATTACACGGCGATCTCTCTCTCTCTCTCTCTCTCTCTCTCTCTCTCTCTCTCTCTCTCCCTCTGAGCAAAATGTCGAAGTCCACCTGTACGAGACCTTCCGTCTCGAGGTCTCTCCGTCTCCTCCTCCCCTTCACCTAGTGTATCCTTCTCTCGTCACTCCGACAAGCTGCCTTCCGAGTAATCGTTCGATCGACAAGAGGCAAGTTAAAATGGCAAGCAAAGACAGCTTTTCCCCTTAACGGCTAATTACACGTTCCGTTCCTCCTCGGAACGCTTAAGACGGTAGACTAATTAGAAAAAACCTCGGTATACAAAAATACAGATATACGTACCTGCGTGCGCGTTTTCGAACTGCGCGCACTTCTTCACCACCGTGTGTATTTTCCTGAACAATGCGTCTATCTATCGTACGGTATGTGTCGTGTTTCGTACGTGTGTGTATGTGTATACATCGCGTATCGTGTGCTCGCGCGTGTTCACACGGATGAGCATCGTGCGTGTTTTACACAGGGCGTGACTCGCGACATTTCGTCACTGCCCGTTTTACCGTGGCCACACGGGAGACACACACTGGACAGCGGCCGAGTTATGGCAAGGAAAAAGGCGAAACGGTCGAGGTTGAGCAAGGTTGAAGTAGCTGATCGCGTGTAGTCTCTCCGGTGGAATCGTCGTACGTAGCACGTGAACGCACCGACGTCATCGACGCTTCTTCGACAGACTTTGCTCCCGTTCTTTCCTCCCGTTTCACACACTTTCGCGACGAAATTGTAATTTCCAGTCTCTCCCCGCCAATCGCCAATTTTCATTTCGATTGCTCGGAATTGTCGTGTTCTCGACAACATGTTGTACCTTCACCGGCTTCCCCGACGAGTGTGTCTGGCGAAAAAACGCTCGATCGACGTAGCACGTATACATTTCTCGCCTGTCTCGCGATCCGCCTGTCGAACTTGTGTGAGTATTTTTCCGAGGGATCGTCCGCACTGAAAGTGAAATTCTCGAGGAATCGGCCTGCGCTTCGTCGCAAATACACTAGTTAACGAATTGATATCTGGCCACCGTGGACCGGAAACGTCGTGCTTCGCGAGAGAGTCGGACAAATTTGGAAAAGAACAAACGCTATACACTTCTCGTGTGTTTCGATTTTCGACTGTCCGCGAATTTCAACATCGCGTTAATGATTGCGAAACATTTTTCGTTGTGACTTGCTCTCCGCGTCCCGCGCTCGCTGTTCGTTTCTCCTCTCTCGCGACCCTTTCGCGAAGTCTCTCTCTCTCTCTCTCTCTCTCTGTCTCTTCTCGGATAAAAAAATATCTTTGTCTCTTTTCTCACGCACGCGTTTACGAAACATTCATCACGCTCAACAGTTGACAATACGAGAACGATGTTATTATCAATAATAATAATAATATTAATATTCATAATAGCAATAATAATAATAATAAAACGCAATAATAATATTAATGTTATCCACTAATTAACGTTACAGCTAGACGCTTTTATTATGCTTTAAGTTTCTTTCTTTCTGCAGGTACGGTTACGTTCGTTCTCTTTCTTTTTGCGTTTTCTTTCGCCTTTTTTTTTTCTTTTTATTTATTTATTTCTTCATTCTCCTTCCGCACGGGAAGGAAAATCGTCACGTCTCGCGGGTTCGTCTGCGTTCCTCCTGTACAGTAAGTATATATCTCGAAATCGAAATCTCCTCGAGCGAGACAGCCTCGAAAAAACATTCGAGTGCCTTTCCCTTTTCCTTTTCTTTTTTTCTTTCTTTTTTTTTCGCGAGCAACAAACGATAATTTTCGATAAATATATAACACGTCGCTGTCGACAGGAATTTCGCAACGTCCAATAAAACAACACACGCGCACGCACACATTCTCTTTCTCTCTCCTGTGTGTTAATCGTTACAACAGCTAACATCTACCGATCACGCACTCGGTTCTATCTTCTTTTTTTCTCTCTCTTTTTTTTTCTTCTTCTTTCTTTAACATCCGGACAACAGTCTGAATTGACGATTTCGCTTTCGCGCGGCGACGAATGAGTTTTGGAAAAGATCGTTGTTGACGAGCAAGTGTCACGTTTTTCCTGATACGTTGAATATCTTCTTTTCAAAGCATGCCCACGTCAAATTAAAATTCAGATAACTCTGCTGTTATCAGCTGCAAAGGAACGATTGTTTCTCGTTTACTTTGAAATTTTCTCATTCGTCTTGTTTCAAATTTGTTACGTTCCGTTTGAAATGAAGTTTACGACGTTTACTGTTTATACATCAATTTTAATTCCTCGTCATTTCGAAGGTACGAGAAACGAACTATTTCTTGTTAAAAATTAATCGACAGCAATGGAAAACTTGACCGGGAAATTCAATTGACTGTTCAAACGAAAGGAAAGTGGCATCATTACGGAATCATTGAAAGAAAATTCAGAAAATTTAGAAAGAAAACGGTAACGAACATCAGCAACGATCTTCTTTTCAACGCACTCAGCTCGATTGATATGTAACCACGCGAAAACGTGGCTTGACAACGTGGGCCGACCGTGAAAATTTGGCACAAGTTTCTTCTCATCTCCGAGTAAAACCCGCGAAACTCGCAAAACACCGCGCGAGAAGATCGCGAGTATCTCGAACGTTTCGATTCGCGCAGATCGAGCATTTCTGAATTTTGAATCTTGGAATTTTGACGCGAGCAACTCCCGCGGGAACAATGCTTTCGGGTCGTTCCCGTTTCGAAACGCAAAACAATCGAGAGAGAGTGACCATCGTCCTTTGACAGAAGCTTGCGCGCGGTCGAAGAGATTTCAAAGATGAATAACGATCGCATGGACTTTCATTAAATTCCGACGAAATATCCGATGGTTGTAAACATTTGGAATTTCGAAAAGAATCATTCCATTTCATAGAGATAGAAAATACAATTTTGTAGACTTCGAGAAGGCACGAAAAGAACGTTACAGGTGTCGAAAGGAATTAAGTTTTGGAACAATTAACAATCAACAGAATCGACGACTCGTCGTATTTTACTCGTAGCTTCCAAAGCTTCCAAAACGAACGAATTCCACGCGAGGCGGTAAGCAGTTTTTGGAATAATTCACGAACGGCCGCTCGTCTCGGTCTCGAGCAACAAAGACCTCCGGGGGAGGAGAATGATGAACGTCGTCGAAACGTTTGAGGTGAAGCAACGGGAGGGAAGACGAGTACCGTGTAATACTGTTGAGAGGATCGCGATAAAGTTTCAAGAGACCGACGATAAAGGTGTGTTCCGATGCGTGACGACGAGACGTATTTACGAAAACAGGGAAACCCCAGTTTTGTAACGGAAAATTCTCCTTAACTCTAGAGTAGCTGGATAGTGACTGGCCTCGTCATCGACGACAGGTCGAAGGGCTGAGATATTCGAACGAGACGAGTCGACCTTGCCCTCCTGCGTCGTTGTCCTGCTGCGCGTCGTTCGTCCGTCCTGTCATCGGCTTTGTCGAGACGTTGGAATTTCGGCGACAAAGCCGTTGGTCGAGGCTGGTGGTCGAAGCTCACGTCCTCGAAATCCGCTTGCAATCACGGGCGAGAAATCTGGCCGTCGTCATTCAGCTTTGATGGTCGCCGATGGGGAGGCCATCTCCTGCGCGAACGTTGGGCTGTCTTCGCCGGCAAGGAGGCCAGGCTCGCTCTTAGGCGTCTGAACATCGGGAAATCTGGCGTGGGTCCTCAAATGCCTGGTGATCATGTCTCGGCGACAAGCGGCGTACGCGCACTGCGGACACTTGTACGGTTTCTCGCCGGTGTGCGTTCGCTGATGGGTGCTCAAGTGGTCCGACCTGCTGAATACCTGGCCGCAAACCTTGCACGTGTATGGTTTGACGCCAGTGTGCAGTCTCATGTGTCTGGTGAGCATGTCCGACCTGGCGAAACTCCTCTTGCACACGTCGCAGAGATACGCCTTGGCAGATGCGTCCTGTGGACCTTGTCTACGATGCCTCGAGGCCATGTGCTTGGCCAGTCGGTCGTGCAGACTGAACATTTGACCACATACTGGGCACACGTATGCCACGTCTGCTCCGGGCGGCATCTCCTCCACCACCGGCGACACCTCGAGGTTGTATCTCACGGCGACGCTCTCCTTGGTCGTTGGCGATGCCACGTCGCCCTTTACCACCGGAACGCTCACCGAGCCTCTCGACACGATACCAGGTGGGAGTAGCTGGAGGGCGGGTGGCCTGCCGGAAACCGCTGCAGCGGCCGCCGCCGATGCCATCAGGCTCTTCATCGAGAGATCCAACGGCGACTCCTGCGGGCTGGTCGTCTCGCTCTCTAACAGGCTGCTTCTCAACGATGGATGGTTGAAAAACACGGATGAGGTGAAGAGCGGAGGCTTCTGGTCCCATCCTGGCACCAGGTCCGAGTCCGAGTGGCTTCTTCCTCTGAAGATGTCCGGCAGGTACTTGGTCTGCATATAGTGCTCAAAACTGTACGACGACAGGGATCCTGGTGTCAACGGCGGCAGAGTGAGTGGCGTCAACGGAGTCAACGGCGTGAGAGGTGTCAACGGGGACGTTGGCGATGGTAGCACCATCGAGGGTGGGCTGGTCGACTGTGAACACTGGACGCAGGTGCAACCAGCATATTTGGCCACCGAGGATCTTTGATGGTGACGCGGGTGTAGCTGACTGTCGTACTGATTGTTGGCGTTGCTGTTTCTGTGGTGATGCCTGTGCCGATGACGATGATGATGCGGGTGATAGTGCGGATGATGAGGATGATGATTCTGCTGTTGCTGTTGATCGGTGCTGTTGGACGACTCTTCCTCGGCAGGCGGTGTTACGGGCTCCTCGCTCTTCAGCCTAAGTGGTAGCAAACTGATGCCAGACGGTGGATCTGCGACCGATCTCGACGACGACGACCTAGGCGAACCGAACACGTCCTCCTCCTCTTCGGACGCTGGCACGCTCCCCTCGAACCTCAACACCTCGCCTTCGGACGGAGAGCTCCGGTGTTGCAGAATGTCCAACACCTGGTCGAGCCGTTTTCGTCTGCGTAGGTTCCGATGGTTGCGATTCGCGGTCGCCGCCAGGGTGTTATTGTTGGTGCAGGAGGGCGGTGGCGGCTTGGCCGGACCCGGGGGCGCGGCTGCAGCGTCCTCCACGGCGCTCTCGGCCATCGTCATCGAGGATGCGCGGCACCCGCCGCCTGGGCCCTTTATGCCGCCTACTACACCCTCGGCTACCACCGTACTGCCTCCCACCTCGTCCTGAAACAACGAAAAACCACGCCGCTCTTACTTCTATTTTCCTTCCCTGTAATCTCTTGGATATTGGTAAATTACAGTCCTCGGCCGCGCGCTCATTTCCGATTGCTCGCGAGATCGCTCTCTCCGACGCACACACCGCGTAATTTCATGAATCATCGTTTTAGTGCCGGACGCGGACGCGAATCACCGGCGTGCGTGCACGCGCTGCGCTTAAACGCGCGCGACCTTATCTCGCTGTTATCCGCCCCGCTGACCGGCTCCGCCATTACGCTCTTACTCAAAAGGGTTTCGCGTCATTAGACCGCAAGATCTCTTTCCGCGAGAGTTTTCTGAGAGGAAACGCTTCGCGTTCCGTAGGTATCTCCTTGCTTACCGAGTCGACGCAACGAACCACGGGCGCAACGACGAAACAGGAGGAGAGTCGTCGAGCTTTCGATCGACGAACCAAACGACACCGATCCTCGTTACTGAAGGCGAAACGCGATTCCGTCCACCGTCCACGGAGGTTACCACGGTCGTAGCAGATCACGATGAACGCGTTCGCACGATTATTTCCACGGGACGGTGATGATTGACCGTCTGTCATCGAGCGTCGCGTAGCCATTAAATAAAAGGCGCGACGATCGCGCGATCGATCGATTTCCCTTACCGAGATGGCATCGATGACGCGAGTCGAGCGCTGTTTGCACGACGCTTTCGATTGACGCGATGTGCGCGTCGCACGATGACGTACGATCTCTCACCTTCCAATCAATTTTCTCGTAATTTCGTTGAAAAGGAAAACAACTTCTCGGAGGGTAGGAGGGGAAGGAGGAGGGTGAGCGTCGCTCGCGTGGTCGTTCGAGCGCGATCGTCCAACTCTGATCGACAGAAATTTGCCATTTTGATTGAAATTCGAGCAACTGACCCCCTCGATACTACACGTTTATACAACAGTTGAGTTATGAACTTCGATTCTACAATTTTAAAGAGTTTCAAACAGGATTTATTTTATTTTCGAGAACGTCTATTCCGCTCATTTGTGACATAAAACTTGTGAAACTGTTTTTTCGACAAACGAATAACGAATGAGAAGGTCCCGATTTAGATACTGTCGCTTCAACGTGACTACTACGAGCAAGCAAAGATTTCCACATCTCTTACAAAGTGCAGCGCATTTATTTATAACGAAAGCGTGCGTGGATCACGCGACTCGTCTTGCTCGATACTTTATCATAAAATCACGTGCAAGTCCACAGGTATAGAAGGTGGTCTATTTGAAATTTAAATGGTGCGCAAAAGACACAGGCACGACGAGCACATGAATCAACGTGCACACGCGACGAATCCAACTAAACCTAACAGTTTTTCGGTGTGGGCGAAGCCATTTGTCTCTCGGATATTCAACGTTAGCTGCCTTATGGCCAAATAATTGATCGCTACGGAGAAATCAATGTGATTCTGAGAATCAAATGTAAATTTCGGATACGGGTTTGTCGTGTAAATAATTTTTCAGTGAAATAAAATAGATAACGTCTTGACTTAAAATCTGCTAAACGTCGCTAAACGAGTTCGAAGTTTCCATTTTAATCGTTCGTCGACAATTCTATGAATGGCTAGCTACGAAATTACGTAGAATACGCGTAAGATGAATACGCAAGTATGTAAGTCCGGCCGTTTTTCTTACAACGTAAAAAAGTGACGATAAAAACGCAGGAAAAACTAAATTATCCGTTAAAATAGTTACTTTCTTTCATATGCAATTACCTACGCTCAATCCTTTACGTAAACTATTATTCACGCAGTCAACAATTTTGAAACAAAAACGTCAAAGAAGTTTCTCGCCTCATTGAATCGTCATTCTCATAAAGCTGACGTCTATACGTTTGGGTCTTGTTAAAGAAAGATACTTCGCAATTGGTAAGCGAAGTGCATAAGATAGATGTTAGAATGTTCGTACATATACGTGTGTAATTTTCAATCGTTTCAATATCTCATTATGGAGTGAGCGTGTGATGTTAAAGATGGACGGCAAACAGGAAAAAATTCGTGATTTCATATCGGCGGCAAATGAAAAAAATTTTTATATGTATTTTTATATCTATAGTCCACATTATATCATATATCTACGTATTATACGATACGTGGGTGTAAATAGTTTAAATAGTTGAGGCAAGAAAAAGTCGTTAAAGAAGCCGAATTTGGAAGAAAAATGTAAAACTGCGTAAATATATATATGGGGAAAAAATGTTCAGATGTTTTTAAACGATAAATAAATCTACGATAAAAAGAAAAAAAAAACTTCACTCGCTTAATTTTCGTAAGATGCCTAATATCTGGATATCTAGATGGATGTATCACATTATTTGACAAAGAAGAATTAACTATGTTCCAAAAATCCATACGAACTTTCTCCTTTTCAATACACGAAACATAAATATCTTTTCCACGTAAAAATTTCGTCCTGTCTCAAAAGAAAACAAAGAAGAAGAACTTCTTTGTTCAATATCCAAACGATGATGTACGTATCTAGATCCCGAGAGATGGAAAACCACAGAAAACTAGCAACTTTGAGGTGTGCCTCGCTTTTTTTCCTTTCCTCCACAAACTGAAACGTCGACTGTTCGAATCGTCCGCTGACAGAGTCGTTTTTAAACGTTCGATCGAGATTTATCGCGGCGATTATGCGCGAAACGCGCCGCCCTTTTACAACCTGTGCAGCCTCCGCCGCGCGAAAGACGACGGGGACAACGATTTTCCAGCGCAATTAGTCGCATCGGTGGAATAGAAATTCGCGGAAGCCGAGCTCAGCGACACAGATGTCCGGACTTTCCAGCGATTCCAGCCTGTCGCATTCTAGGGCGTGCGGCGCGGCTCTTTCAAATCGATTTGAACACCGCGTGTTACTCTCGCCGCCGCGCGAGGATCCTTTCATGGCGAAGCGGCCGAATGCCTGGCTGGAAGCGCGCCAGCGAAAAATCAGCTCCACGCGATCCACGAATATCAGGTCACCGTTGCACGGAAATTTTATAGTTGGTTCGCGACACGTCGAATAACTTTCAATTTAACGCCTCCGCGTAAAAACTTTTCGTAATTGTTCACTGCTAGCGGAAGAGACAAACACAGAGACGACGGAAGAAGTCGCGCTCTATTCGTCAATTTATGCTCGTTGATAAAATCTATGTCTGCATCAAATCTATGTTACATTCCACGAGATGTAAGTCTCATTTGAAACAAGAAGAAAATGGAGAAAAGGATCATTTGCAAGTTTCGATCGATTTCTTACAAATAACAGTTAGTATCTAACTAAACGAACGCTTATCAATTGCGTTCATTCATCTGAACGAGAGTTCCAATCGTGTGAAACGAAAATCCTATATTGACTCGTATCCTATATTGACTCCAATTGCACAAGAGAATAAATGATCATTGTGCTAATATTACGCGAATAGCCTCGATCGACGAGACTAACAATAGGGACGGTGTATCTCTCGCATCCTTATCGATCCACATCGCTTCGTACACGAGAGAGATCTTCGATGGACTTGGAGTTTCCTTCTTCGCAGGAAAGATATCCGTGATATTCGCGTATCGGCGAATCGAGAGATCGACGACGGATACAGCGAGTCTCGTACGGCGGTCTTTGTACGTTCCTGTTCTTCCCTGCCGCGATCATCGTCTTGTTGTTTCCCTCGCGACCCTCCCTTTCTCCTTCGTCTTGGCCTCGGCAGAATCTCGCCGAGAGAGAAAGGGCCCCCGATGATCGCTCGTAAAACGCAAAGGGGACTCGTAAACGGAGTGAAAAGACGTCAGAACGTAAAAGCCGAGAACAAGTCCCCCGGACGCGAGGAGATGTGGGCGTGCGACGTGGCTGCCATCCCCTCTCTCCTTTTTCTCGTTTCACTCGTTTCCTCTATTTCTTCCTATTTCTTTCACCACCGTGTCTTTCTCCCCACTGCCATTCTCATTTTTATACTCCTTTCGCGTATCCGCAAATTTCGGACTGCGCGCTTCCCTGTTTTCCTGCACGTGATATTTTTAACTGTCGCTGTCGCGTACCAATGTTCTGGCTGAACCATTCTCGTTTGTTGCAAGAAGCTAATTCGAACGTAGGAGAACATTTCCTAACTTGAACGTTAACGCGTGGATATTCCTGTAAATTACTTGGTAACAGCATGGAGAATAGAAGAAATACTGTAGAAACAGTAAATGTATATATACTTTTGGAAGATCTCGTAGGATGTGACCGAACTATTGACGCTAGTTTGAAAATATATCTTCGCAACTAGCCACATGGTGTTTCAATCTGTTCCATTGAAAAAATGCTCGTGTATCAACTGCAACGTTGGAACTGTCTCTAAAATTTTTCTGCTCGGAAACTGTCAACACATTTCTAGATTTCTATATTCAGGTACTATTAACGTACTTCTACATTTTAATTTCCTCAGCTGATGGCAGGAAATTATTCAAATATGCATTCGGTATCATTCGCAGCCGCACGGTATATAGCAGAGAGTCGTCGAAGATTAAAAATATTAATTATATTGGACTTTTTCGCGGGAGAGATGGACGCGACGCGCGTTTCAGAGTTTGTTTCATGAAACTCGAAAGGCGTGCTCTCGCGGCTCTCGTGCACATGCGGCTCTCTGCTTCCTTTCTCTCGCGGCCAGTCAGGGTAGGCCTGTCTCTTTGGTACTACCACACCGTCGAAGGGCATTTAGGATAGCTTAATGGTCGGCCGGTTTCGTTTTGAGGCTGATTCGACTGGACGCGCGTCGGCGTTCGAAGAAATCACCACGGGCGTCGCTTTGCGTCACGCGGTTACGCAACGCGATTACCGTGTTACGTTAACAGAGAGGAGAAACTTAATCGGTTCGTTAGATCGCCTATCACGTTAACATGCTTTCAGATGCGTTTCAGAATGAATCTCTAAAAGGAGAAGACTAAAGAGAGTACCGTAAGTAAGGAAATAAGAAAATTTTGAGAAGGAAAGATACGAAGATGCGAGTAGATGAGAGCCT